TCTGGTACATATCCCCATGCAAGGGGCAAGTAAACAGTAAACCAACATAAGGCTAGTATAACATAGTAAGCAGTATTAACAGCAACAGCAAAATGCAAACAATGCAAAATAAGCAGCATAAACAGGCAGTAAACAATGCAGACAGACAAAATCAAACTGACATTTCAAAATCACACTGACATTTGTAATAACAAAAACAGCGTCGGAGCAGAGCAGTACTCAAATGGAGCATGGCTCATTGCATAGCTGCTTTTAAACATCATTTCTCACAGCTCCTACACCATCAGTGATTAAACATCCCCACTCAGACATGCTCAGCAGAGACAGCAGGACAGAAGACATTTTAGACAGCAGAGATTACAGCTAAAAGTTGGCAAATGACATTGCAAGAGAGCATTAATGAATCTTATGGAGATGGATGAAACCGAGCTACAAACCAAGCTGCTGATTGTGTATGAGAGCTCTAGTTGTTTGTATGCTAGCAAAGCAGTCAATGAACTTAGTTACAAATTATGTAGGTGTCAGTTTCTAACAGAAAGTGCTGTAGTGGATGCCTATTTATTTTGGAGCAGAGACAGTAAGGGACACATTTCATTTGTTCAGAAAGCTCCGACTGAATGAGAGACTGCACTGACTTACAGCAGTGGAACAGACTTTGGCTACAGTATCTATTTACCAGCTGTACATTTAACTTTCAGACTCAGGAACCAGTTTTCTCAAGTAACTCTCAGTGAGACAGAAAACAAGCATATTTCACAAAATGTTAAACCATTTCTCTTTTGTGAAGATGATGCTTTTATCCTGATGGATACTGTTGCTGCCTAGTGAAACAAACCAGCTGTTTTCTCCATGAAGGCAAAAGTTGTTTATATTTTCCATCACACCTCTTCCAGCAGCTTTGTATCTCTCAAAATGAACCAGTCTGAGCAAAACAACGTTACTAGTGATTTTAAATAATTCACAAGAATCTGCGAATGTTCTTTTTATACTATCTGTTTCTAGTTTTTCTGCATGAAGCTCCATGCACACACACACATTCTTAGGATTAGCCTCTCCACACGCCTCCAAACACTCACCCACAACAGTCAGGTTAAAGGTCTGCTGTGACCCGTTCCCATTGATGATCTGGCCCTGATACTGTCCACTGTCGTTGATATGGAGAGACAGAATGGTGAGAGAGCCCGTCCTTTCATCCAGCTGGAATCTTTGTGATTCATTCCACTCCAGTTTTCCATTGTCAAAGTTGATGATGACACGTTGATCTACACCATATGACCAGAGAACCTGATAGTTGCCACGTAGTCCAGTGACTCCAGTGTTCAGAGTGATGCTTTCTCCAGCTTTCCCTGTCAGGTTCTTAGTCTCACTCAGTCCAACTGATACAGCAACTGTCAGAGAGAGAAATAATAAATAATGACTAAAAGTTTCCATTTGTTCTGATAATAGGAGAAAAAGTAGAAACACATTCTACTTCCTGTTATCTACATCTGCTCTTAAAAACACTATTACACTTATATTGACAGGCTATTCTCTCTCTGAAGTGAACCATT